GAACTGTTACAAAGCATGAAGACGCCACTCTGAAGGCTAAGGGGCCTCACATGCACGGGAAAGCCGGACGGTGACGAAGGAAAAGCAGAGAAGAGCTGCTGTCCTTGAATTAGGGTGCTGGCTACGGCTCTGGACTATCCCTGGGGCTTCCAGGACAAGGAGCTCGAGTGGCGCAGTGGTTACGAGATGGGATGCTAACTGCAAGATTGTAGTTCGATACCACCTGCTGCTTCTTGGGAGAAAGACAGGGCTTTCGACTTCCATAAAGAGTTACAGTCTCGGAAACTCACAGAGGCAGTTCTACCCTGCCCTACAGGGTCACTCTGAATCAGCACCGACTCATTGGCAGTGAGTTTGGCTTTGTTTTGGGTCCAGACGAACAAGCAAATCTGCCTTGGAAGATGTGCAGCAGAATGCTTCTTAGAAGCAAAGCAGGTGAGACTGGTTCTCATGTTTGGGACATGTTATTAGGAGGGACCAGCCCTGCAGAAGGACATCATTCTGCAAAGGGGCGTCATCGAAGAGGAGGACCCTCCACTGCGGCCACAATGGGCTCCAACACGGCAAAGAAAGGACAGGGCAGGCCTTCACTGGAATCAGCACTTAACAACAACAACAATCTATTTCGTTTAAATGCTCAATCCTAAATATGACGCAAGTTTATTTTTTTAATAAAGAACCATCTTCTATGCATGGAAACAAAGGTGATGTTCACGCAGAACACCTGATTCACTTCACAGTAGACGGCACCACTGACTATTTCAACAATGGGGAAGAAACCATGAAAGTCAAGGTGCTGAGCACCTATTCCATGTCGCCAAACTCACTGCCATCAAGCCCATATAGCACTCACAGCAGCCCACCAGGACAGGGTAGACCTGGCCCTGTGGGTTTCTGGGCGGGCATAGAAAGCCCATCTTACTTCTGAGACGCAGCTGGTGGTTTTGAATTGTTCATCTTGTCATTAGCAACCCAATGCATAACCTCAACACCACCAAGTATTCGTCAGTTATCACCGTACGCCATCCCAACAGCATGACCAGGTAAGAATCGCTGTAGACTTGTTATGAATGGGGGGGGGGGGGACGACACAATGCTATCCCGAGCTATCCCAGGGAAAGGCCAGAATGGAAAACTAGACAGGCCTTGATTTAAACCCCATGCTCTTTGTCAGACAGTGAGTAACTCATGGCGACCCCAAACATGTCAGAGCAGAGCTGTGCCCCACAGGGTTGTCGATGAAGCTGATTGAAAAAAGATCACCAGGTCTTTCTGCTGAGGCACATCAGAGCAGATCTGACCTCTAGCCTTATGGCTGGCAGTCAAGTGTGTTAACCATTTGCACCACGCAGAAAATCTTTGGAATAAGAATAAGGCAGATAAAGAAATCAGAGTTGGGCAATCTAGCCACTTCTTTGAGGTCTACACAATGGAAGAAAATACTCCCACCAAAGTAATTCAACTTCTAAGGTGGGAGTCAGTATAGATCACACTCAATTCGCTCCTGCAAAGTCCCCTGGATGAGTATTCACACATGAGAAAGCTTTGGACAAGACATGGCACTAGAGAGCTTGCAGCTACCAGACTCAGGTAAGTGGCATCTACCCTCCAAGCTCCTGAGTCTGAGCCCCCTCGGCTGGCCCCACAGAGTTTCGGGCCCCTAGACAGATTGTAATAAAGTCGGACCATGCCCCCGAAACCTCCAACACAACTCCAGACCTCAGGAAAGTTCTACTGCGACAAGGAGGTTACACTACTCACTGTACTTGGGGCTTGGGACCAATTCTCTTTGGTTCCCAGTTAATCTCCTTGAAGAAATAAACACACACACAAACATGCACACACACACAACTCACTGCCATCGAGCCGATTTCAACGCACAGCGGTCCCAGAGGGCAGGGTAGAACTGCTCCTGTGGGTTTCTGAGACTGTAACTCTGCGCCAACTGAAAGCCTCTTCTTTCTCCCTAGGAGAGGCTGGTGGTTTCAAACTACTAACCCTGGGGTTAGCAGCCCAATGCGTAACCAATACACCACAGGGCTCCTCCTTGAAGGGATACTCCTAAAATGCACATCCTTTAAAAGAAACCAAAATGATCCTAGGAAAATTTTTCTTTTCTTTCAACTCACTGCTAAAAGGATACATATGAAAACAAAAACAAAACCAGTAAGGCTGTTTGAGAAGAAGGAAGAGAGAGAATCGAACCAACACAGGTCCACAGTCCCACCAGAGCACCGCGCTGTGTCCATTCTGCTCCCTCTCTGACCATCCCTTGCTTCATGCAAACAGTCTTTTATGACTGCGTCACATTGGCTATCCTTTAACGTCTGCCAAAGTCATATCCCGCTGAACATTTCCAAGATTCAAGGTCAAGGTTGATGCGCAGGAAAATCGACTGCAGAAACAAGTACCTGCGTTGCTTTCCCCCAGTCTGAGTAAGAGGAAATGTCACATCACTCTGTTCTAGCATAAGGAGATCATTCTCGGCAAGACAGTACGCATTGTTTAACAGGTGGAGCTGTGCTTGCTTGGGCAGCACCTACACTAAAATTGGAACTAAAATTGGATACAGAGGAGATTAGCAACGGCCCCTGCGCAAGGATGACACGAAAATTCGTGAAGCGTTCCATATTAAAAAAAAATAGTTGGGGCTACTCAAAAAAACCAAATTCACTGTCGTTGAATCAATGCCGACGCGCACCGGCCCTCTAGGACAGGGTGCAACTGCCCTGTGGGTTTCCAGGCTGTGACTCATTACGGAGTGGAAGGGAAAGCTCCTTCTTTCCTCCTCAGGGCAGCTGGTGGCTCTGAACTGACGACCTTTCAGATAGTCGCCCAATGCACTACGCCCCCAGAGCAGCTTCGTCGGGGCTACAGAGGAGAGAAGGGACACTTTCACAAATGCCCATCCAGTCATTTAAACATTAAGCAAGAATGTGCATAAACTCCGAGGGCCGTCATCCATCCCCTTGTCAGCTCCCCCAAGGAAAAGAGCACAAGAGCATCTAATGAAAATCCTGTTTTCTTCACAGGATATAAATCAACTTCCTCCCCGCTTTTAAAAAAAGCTGTTTTCCCCACAATCCACATATTCTCAGAGCTAAAGGGATGGAGGGGGGTGTGTGTGTGTTTTAAAAAGGCAATAAAATGTCATGTCTTGGTTTTGCTACTTATTTTTAAATATGTATGTAGCAGCAGGATTGAGAACTGGGAAGGGGGGGGGCGGTTAAAAATCCAGTCAGCGGGACATGATTTTTGACCATGAGATATTTATACATAAATTAATGGAATGCAAGACTTCCTTTATTTATTTTCATAGACATAATCTCAAGTCGGGGCTGGGGGCAGGTAGGCTGGCCCGACTGCTAGCTAAGCCCCATGGAGAGAGCATGAGTGTCCATTGTGCCGGCTATCACTCATATATTTTCTGTTCCAGTCACTGGGATACATTCCACTCGAAGGGGGCAGGTTTTCTACCCTGGGTTCGGGAAACTAGGTCAAGGGAAACAGTGGTTATTCAACATCTTCACTAGTTGATCTATGTTTTCTGTCTCACGTAGGGAAAAATATAAACCCCAAATCCAAACTCAATTGCAATGTGTCGCTGATGCACAGTGACCCGATAGGTATCTGTGGGTTCCCCAGACTGCAACCCTTCACCCCAGTGAAAGTCTCTTCTTTCTCTGGTGGGTCGGCGGGTGGTTTTGAACTGCTGACCTTGCAGTTAAAGCCCAACATGTAACCACTATGCCACCAGGGCTCCTCCACGGAAGTAAGACACGCCAGAGCCCGCGGGGCTTCCATGTCCTTGTTGTTGCTTACAGGCAGGCCAGCAACAACTCACGGCGACCTCCGAAATATCCCAAACCAGGTGACTGCAAGTCTCGGAAACCTGTAGACTTCAAGTTCTACAGGGTCACTAGGAGTCAGCATCAGAGTTTGTTTGGGGGTAGTGATGACTTAAAACAGCAGCAACTAGAGCAGCGGTTCTCAACCTGTGGGTCGCGACCCTTTCGCAGGGGTCGCCCGATTCATCACAGTAGCAAAATGACAGTGATGAAATAGGAACGAAAATAATTTATGGTTGGGGGAGTCGCAGCATTAGGAAGGTTGAGAACCCCTGAACTAGAGGCTCAGAGTCTAAATGAGGCTGTCAGCAGCTCGTGCTAAGGCTTTGAGAGATGCCTTCCTAAATCTCTTCCAGCATCTGTGAGCGCCTACCATTCCTTAGTTTGGGCAGCATTCTCCTACCCTCAGCCTCTGTCTTCATGCCTGCCTCTCCTTTCAGCAGGACACCAGCCACACCACCCCCTATGCTAGGACATTACTGTGACTGCTGTCAGGTGCCAGCGAGTCGATTCCGACAGCTCACCACCCCATGTGACTGAGAAGTACTGCTCCACTGGGGGCAAATCAGCGGGTTTTTCTCTGGCACAGACAGGGTAGAACTGCCCCTGGGGGTTTCTGAGACTGTAAATCTTTCTGGAAACAGAAAGCTTCATCTTTCTACCAGGGAGGCAGCTGGTGGTTTCAAACTGCTGACCTGGCATCTAGCCCAATGCATAACCCACTATGCCACTAAGGCTCCCTCTGGCACACTCGGGTGGGTTCCGGTCCACAGCTGAGCCACCAGGGCTCCTTGGGCCAACAACATCATCTTCAGAGACACTTTGCCAAACAAGGTCACATTCACAGGTCGCAGGGGTTAGCACTCCCACGCATCTTTTGTGATGCACCATTCAACCCGGGACAGGGGAAATGGAACCAAAACCATGCGCACCAAACCCACTGCTGCTGGGTCTGTTCTGACCCACAGCAACCTGACCAGGCACGGCAGAACTGCCCCCTTGGGTTTCCCAGGCTGTAAATCTTTCTGGGAGCGCCAAGCTTCATCCTTCGCCCAGGAAGCTGCTGGTGTGTGTGCACTGACTGGCCTTGCGGCTAGCAGTCCCATGTAGAGCCCACCGCGCCCACCAGGGCTCCTGGGGGATGGAACATACCTATTCAAAGTCGAAGGTCTTGGAACTGGAAGGAATCCTTTGGGACTCCGAGGCCTGATTCTCCCAGCAGTCCAGGCCTGGGTCCCAAGCAGTGTGGGCTCTTTCTGGATCAGTTCTGTCTATGTCTCTAGCTTCTCTTATTCTCTTCGGCTGACAGCGAATCAGGCATCTTTCTGGAAATTGCCCTAAACCTAACAAACAACAAACGGCCGCACAGGCTGGGGACTACCCCTTCTTTCATTGCGGATCACTGTACCAATGGCTACTTCCGTTCCCTCTCCCCCTTAATTACTCTCCGAGGACAAGGAGGGACCAGCTTTAAAAAGAGGCCCAGTGCACAATGCTCTCAGCCCGAAACTGCTCCTCTATGTGGCCTTGACCCGGCCAGCGGTCATTGTCCCTCGGACCGCAGCCTCAGGGTCACTTGCACCGACCACTTGGTTAAAGGAGCCCTCTCAGCACCTGGCATCACCATCACCACCCTCTTTATTTTTTCCAAGGTATCTTACCTCAAGGAGCCCTGGTGGTGCAGTGGTTAAGCACTCTGTTGCTACCCAAGAGGCCGGTGGTTGGAGCCCGTGGGAGGAAAAGGCCGGCAATGCGCCCCGGAAAGATGAGAGCCTAGAACGCTCTATGGGGCTGGTGGTCACAGCCAGCCCTGGCTTTCCAGGGAAGCCCCAGGCCAGCGACAGCAGCATCACCTGGGAAATCGTGAGAGGGCCCGCCACAGACCAACTGAGGCACACACAGGGGGCTGAGTTAGCAGCGTGCTTGTGAACACACCCTCGTGTATTCAAATATCCCCTGGAGAGAATGCTGATTAAGTTACTTCCTGGAAAAGATTAAACCGCCTCTTCAGTCGCTGCCATCAAGCCGATTGAGACTCATGGCGACCCTTAGAGGGCAGAGCAGAGCTGTCCCAGTGAGTTTCTGAGATTTAATAAATCTTTCCAGGAATAGAAAACCACGTATTGTTCCTGTGTAGTGACTGGTGGCTTCGAACTGCTGACCTTGCAGTTAGAGGCCCAACTTTCGGGCCACTTTGCCAGCCGGGCTCCTGAAAAGCAGACATGAACCAACAATGATTCCGGGCTGTAAGAATGGGGATAAAAACCCCAGGACAAGTAGAAGTCACAAGAAGGTGTGGCAATGCCCAGTGCCTGAGATGAGCCAGAACATGATATACACTCGCTCACCGTTATCCATCAAGTATGACTCACAGTGACCCTGAGAGGCAGAGTAGATCAGCTCCTAGGGGGTTCTAAGACTTTTAACAGGAGGTGACCGGAGCGACAGGTGGATTTGAACCACAGACTTTGTAGTTAGCGGCGCAATGCATAACCCACTATGCCACCAGCACTCTTAGAGATACGGATGGTCCTAAGATAAAGCAGCCCAGGTAAGCCCAGCAAATCATGACATCCTTGCCTGCCACTGCTCAGGAGTGAGGCTTTGCATGTGGAATGGGCACTCCTGGAATTACATGTTTCTGAGAACCACCTGGGATACAGTGTAGCGAACAGCGACTGCAGAGGTAGCTGCAGGTGAGAGGCGACAGTGATGGAAAGGAGGCCATGCTCCATGTCACGCCCAACAGCAGGGCTCCCTGTGGGAGTGTGGGGTCAACAGGCACCTTAGGCAAAGGTGGAGTGAGATCAAGGGTGGGAGAGGACAGAGTAAACATTCCCTCCCCTGGGAAACCCTGGGTTCCAGGGTCGGTGCTCCATCCAGAAAACTTGAGTGCTATCGTGGTTACATGTCGTGCTGCCAACCACAAGGCCAGCAGTTCAAGACCGCCAGCCACCGCTAGGGAGAATGAGGAGGCTTTCTACTTCCGTAAAGAGGAGCAGTCTCAGGCACCCGCAGGCACAGTTCTACCGTGCCCTACAGGGTCACTGGGAATCGGAACTGACTCGATGGCAGGGAGCTGTTTGGGTGTGAGCCCCCTCACGACGCGTGGCACTTTTTCCACACTGATGACTTCTTCTGCCCCTTCACCGCGAGCCTTCCCTGTAGGCTGAGAGCTCCAGGCAGGCCGGTGCAGCGACCACCTTGGTCATCTGAGCACGGCAGAAACTGAGGGAACGCATGGGCCTGGAGAAGCCAGCAGGCCGCTGAGAGTGGGCAGGCAGCTGTGCAGTCGCGAACGCAGCTGGAAGATTTCATCATGACGAATGGTCTTCCTGAACTTTTTTCCTAGTTCGTTGATACCATTTCAAAACACACAGAACGAAGACCTTTACGACTGTGAAGACAACAGTGACTCCGATCCGTCACATGGAGGCGACTGGCTCCACTTTGCAGTCAGAAAGAGCCGCAGCTTGAGCACCAATGCCCTGGGAAAGTAAGGCCCGGGTCGGTCCAGGAGCCCACGACAGCCGGCCAAGAAGAAAAGCCGGCGTCCTGGTGTTTCCTAGACCCTGCAAAGCCTGAAAGCAGAAGACGGGACATTTCCAGTCTCGCGGACATAACCTCAGGAGCCCTGATAGCATAGTGGATTATGCACTGGGCTGCTAGCTGCAAGGTCAGCAGTTCAAAATCGCCAGCCACTCTGTGAGAGAGAGGTGAGGCTTTCTACTCCTGCACAGAGGTCCAGCCTCGAAATCCCTGTCCTGAGGGGTCACTATGAGTCAGCATCGACTCGATAGCAGCAAGTTTTCTGGTTGCACTCGCCCACACTTTGACTCTGGGTTTGCAGAGAGGGTTCCTGGTGCGCAGGCAATGTGGTGGCCCACTTACAAGCTATTTCGGAGTCTAACTTGGAGGCGGTGCTAGTAGGTGGGGAGGGAAGAGCCACCAGGTGGGTGCCACCACCCGCGTCTCAAACCTTCAGGGAATCCTACAAGAAAGGGTGCTATGGCTGCCAGGGAGGCAAGCCCCAGTCTCCCTGTCCCAGCTCCCCATTTCTCACCAGTCCCACAATAGGCAGGACCAGAGAAAATCATAAACGTAATTCCCAGTCCCCTGGGAGGAGCCTCATTGAGGGCATACATTTGTGTCTGGGTAGGAGGGGGCTGCAGGAGAGAGGATAAAAAGCAGAACTATTAAGAAGTGGGAATTCTGGTAAAACAAATGCCAAGGACAAAAGAGAACCAAACAAACAGGACAACAATGGCCAATTCTTATGCCAAAGCACATGGAGAGGCCGAGCCAAGACCCAGCTGGCCTGGGTCCTCCAAACCAGTGAAACAGGACACCCCTGCTCTTTCAGGCGAAAAGTCAGTTTTCGTTTAAAACTGAAAGCAATAGCTGTCCAGGTCTTATTTCAGGCCAAGAATTGTTCAAAGCCCTAATCGTGCCCTAGCTCGTGAAATCTTTAGAGCAACAAAGACACCACTCAGTCCGACTGGAAAATGAGAAGAGGAGGCTGGGAGATGGGGGGAGGCTGTTGTGGGCCTGTGGCCACTTGGCTGTTCACTCTGAGGGTCATTTGGAAGAGTTGGAGGTTCAAACTCACCCTGAAGTTCCACGGGAGAAAGACGCAGGGCTCTGCTCCTGTCAGGAGAACAGCCTTAGAAAACAGTTAACGGAGACCTGGGAATACTGTGGGTTAAGTGGGGCGGCTTCCTGGCAAGGTGGGCAGTTCAAAGGCACCAGCCACCCCAGGGGAGAAAGATGAGGCTGTTTGCTCCCATAAAGATTGACCATCTCGAAAAGCCTAAGGAACAGTTTCACCCCATCCTACAGGGTCACTATGCGTCCGAATCAACTAGATGGCAGTGGCAGGTAAAAACCTGTGGCGTCACTCTACTCCTCTGCCACACGGGGCACTGTGAATCAAAACCAACAACATTGGACCCCACCCCCACCCCCAAGAGCCTGGCTCTAAACCATTAAACTCCCACCACTGCCAGTTTACTCCCTTAAAGAGTTACTGTCTCAGAAACCCAAGGGGTGGGGTGCTACCCTGCCCTGTAGGATCACTACAAGTCTGACGCCACTCGACGGCAGTGAGTCAGTTTTCTAAGTTGTCATGGTGTGTGTGGGGGGTGCAAGAAGGCAGGCTTTGTTCAGGCTCAGGACACGTCTTGTAACTGTGCTGAGTCATGGGGAGAGAAGAAACGCAATGCTTCCTGCACAGCTACAGGACCATCGTTGGTCCAAAATGAATCTCGGTCAGACCCAGACTGTCCCGAATTCCAAAGTGAGCATCACTGCTCACATGGGGCCTGAAGGAAAAGGCCCTGTTTCCTCATTTCTAAAATGCGGACAGAGTTCCTGGGTGGCACAAAGGGGGGAAGGTATGACACTACAAGGGTCCAAACACAGCTGGATGCTACACAGTCATTGGTTTCGAGACGGTCCCCCCACCCCGAGTTGACTAGACTGTCCAGCCCGAGTTGATGGAGCCTGCTCCTTGGCAGAGAGCATCAGCACACCCAGAGACAAATGCCAACACCACCTCTTGGAAGCCTCGTCTGCTGGAACATCCATTTCAATCGATTGCTCCTTTTGTTTAAGGCGGCCTGGTGGCGCAGGGGTAAAGAGTTGGGCTGTGATCCGCATGATCCGCAGTTTGGAACCACCAGCAGCTCCAAGGGAGGCAGACTGGGCTTTCTGGGCCTGTAAACAGTTACTATCTCAGAAACCACAGGGGCGTCGCTGTGCATCAGCACTGACTCGCTGGCAGTGAGTCTGGTTTGGATTTGGTCCCTCCTGTTCCTCTTTCCTCCTGGTGCTTTCCTTGTTCTGTGATTCAGAAACGCTTGCTGGTTCCCAGAATACTTTCAAAATTAGCTCCCATCAGTTTGTAGGATCTTGGGCCTGTATCCAAAATTCCACGTTCCTGGAAGGCTCATGGGCCTCTCGGTCCACCCACAGATCCCACTGGAAGCCAGCTTGGAAAGAGTCTGTCTGTCTTACACATTTTGGACATGTTGTCAGGAGAGACCAGTCCCTGGAGGACATCATGCTTGGGAAAGTGGAGGGGCGGTGAAGGAGGGGAAGGCCCTCCATGAGATGGATGGACACGGTGGCTGCAGCAATGGGCTCAGGCAGAGACCATGGTGAGGATGGTGCTGGACGTGGCAGTGTGTGCTGTGTTGTGCACAGTCA